ATTATTTTTTCCTACCAAACTTATTATTGCTCATTTTTTATTCTTTTATTTCTTTCCTCAGCCTTCTATATATTTTACTTTACATATTTTATTATTTAATGATACATTTATTATTTAACATTTTATTATTTAATTTACTTTACACATTTTTGATCGAAATTATGATAGTACTACCTTGCATTACTCTGAACCCTTAATCTTTTCACGTCTCGCTGTTTTTTTTTAATTTCTATTATTTATTTTAAACATACAGTGGATTAAAAATCTTTTGCATTAAATATTCTAAGTATAAATCGGGTGGGTAAAAATCGTACACTGACGACTAATCGCTTTCAAACATCGTGGGAGTAGACAAAGCTCTATAAGTAAACAAAACTAAGTTTTTTTTGTTATTTTTATTTTCCTTATTTTAATTTTTTACTTTTCTGATAAATTTAATAATGCTTCCTTTGATGCTTTTATGCGATTGTTAAATGTATGTATTCTCTTATTTTTTCTATAGCAGATTTTCAATTGTCAAATTAATGAAGTAAATTGAATAAATTTTTAATATTTAGAATTTCGAGTTATTGCACGTTCCTACTCTAATTTTCAATTTAAATGCTTATCACCGTTTTTTTTAAAATCTTTTATTTATTTTATTAAAATAAATGCATTTAAGAGATAACATGGGGATACCTTTTCCTGGCACAATATAAAGGGGGATTATTTTCTAAGGGAGCTTTTAGATACTATAAAATATGTTTAATTCAACAAAATTTAAAAAAAAAAGAAGTATTTCCCCCCCTTGTTTTCAAGAAACGTTTTTTCTTCTTTTTCAATTAATTTTCTTCCCGCTCTCTCTTTTAAATTAAGTGTATATTTAGTAGCATTCTTTTCTATCTAGTTGTTACAATAAGAATTTTCATTTCTGTCGGATACTTTCCAGATAATAGTGGAATAATTTTCTTCCCCCCATTTGCAAAACAAAGGTATTTTCTTTCCCTCTCTTTTGCTAACTTCTGTATTTTCTGTGTGTGGACGTGTACTAAATGCCAACCAGCAGAAAAAGCTTTATTTCCATTTTCGTCCAATCAATATGAGTTTTTCTTACTTTAGTGGCATTAGAGTGAGAATTCATTGAGTAAATTAGATCTTAGAAATGAAATGGAAAAAAAGGGGGAGGGGAACGCCGCATCCTTTTGAAATTAACTTTTTCCCCCCTATCTCACTTTTTCCCTTTCGAAATATGAGGGGGAAATAAAGTGCTTTCTGTGAAAAGATATGCTTAGTTTTTTGTTGTTGTTTTTTTTTTTTTTTTGTTGAAAGAGTAGCTTTTTCTTTGTTTAGCATATCGCTCAAATTTGCATTTCTCAAATGTTATGATTTTATAATCTAATTTAATCTCAAGGTTTCGCTTCATATAATTTTTTTTTTTTTAAGATTATGAATTCATCATTTTTTAATCAACGGGAGGTTGTTGTATTATTTTGTGTAGATTAAACAATTTTTTTTATTTGCTAATAATATTAAAAACTGAATGAAGGTTGTATAGGGTGTCCAGTAAATGTTGCTTGTAACTTAAAGTAATGTAAACTTCTAGGGCAGACTATAAAGATTAAGAATTACACAACAAATCATGACCGGAAAAGTCATCGTACGCAGCTAGTGGCGCATTCCCATTTTGAACTTATTAACTGTGTGTTTTTGAACCGGTACTTTCATTTATCTGAAACATCTTAATTTCATGTTAATTTTATGTTATCTAATAATTATGGTCGAAAGTTGCATTCAAATAGGCACGGAAATAGCTTTAAAAAAAAATCGTAACTTAATAATTTGGCGAGCTTCTAAAGTCTCTCTGAAACATGTTGTTACATTATTGCTGTAAAATATTTTGTTATTCAACTAAGGATCGAGCACATTTTATAAGAGAATTGGTTCCCAGTCGATGTGATTAAAATTATGATATTTTATAGTTGAAATCTTCCAGAACAAAAGTCCTCATTGGGTCTCAATGCCAAAAAATGAACTCATATTAAAGTATTGAGAGTTTTACTTCCACGCTACGTATGTTTTAAGTGTCCTTTCTAATGAGTTGTTCGAAGCATTTCGGTCAATTTTAAAGCTCCGTACCTCAAAATTTGTTCATTTTTTAACTTTGGTCCTATCTGAGCTTTTGATTAGGAGGATTTCAACTTCAACGTATGAACATTTAAGCTAAACTGGGACTCGATTCCCATATACAATAAGAAAGGTCTTTTTGAAAATTACTTTATTGAAACATTTTATAGATGAGTTAGAAAAATAATTTGTGGTTGGTTGGTTCTAATGCCACTAGCCACGCTGGCAAGCCTGCTTGGTGAAACCCAGCAAATTTAAGGCAGAGTGTGCGATTCTTGTTTTTCAGTGGCGCCATCTATGGCCAAGAATACGACTTCGCCACACCATACGTCACACCTGTTTATAAGGCGGACCCATTCATACATCCATTCATTCATCCACAGATCGTAATTTTGACCTGAATCAGAGAACGATCGATCTCCAATCCAGTATCCCCAAATGTATTGATTTGTTATGGGAACAATGGAGGACTTTGCGACTCGACAGAATTTTAACGTACATCAGTCACCAATTACACAGGGAGTCTTCGGCCGGCGGGGTTCGAACTCTCGGACTTAAGCCCAGCGCCCCTACCGACCAGGCTATCCCGGCACAAAATAATTTGTGCGTGTGCTAAGGTTGAATGACATATTTATATCTTAATTGGTTTTGTTTTGAACAGGCAGTGATATAGGACATCACATCAACACATCTATTTTTTTAAATATGTTTTTAATATTGCACAATCACAGTTTCGCAGCATTGGCGCACTACCTCCGAAAAGAACCTTATCATCTAGGAGGCAAAACTCTAATGGCTTGGGGAGCATTTGGATTTAATGGGCTGAGATCCCTGCATTTCCTTAAGGGAACACGAACATCTAAAACACATCGAGATACGTTGCGGAAACATATGCTTCCTTTTTAAGATCATGTGGAAGGAACTGATTCTACATTTCAATAAGACACTCGATAATGTCTCGATATATATTTTACGTTCGACAGGAAATTGGCTTTCCATTATTTAAGGGGTGCACAACCTGCTGCCCGCGGGCCAAATGCGGCCCACCGACTGTTGATATGCGGCCCGCAAAAGCTTCTGAACACAATAGATTTTTTTTTTTTTGAAAAATAAAAAAATTTCGAGAATTTTGAATCACACATTTGAGTCATCACTTTTTGACGAGCTCAATTTACATATATTCTATAGTAAATCTGTGTTTCTTGATCTCTTACTACACCGTAATTGCTTTACATGGTTTTTAATAAATGTAAAATTTTTAATACGATATTAAGACACGTTAATTTCGAATTTGAGTTATCACTTTTTGTCTGGCATTATTTTTGACCATTTCATCTCAAATCCAAGTGATTTTTCCAATTAATTTTGTTCAATTGAAATATATTTTATTTGAATTTGTATTAATCATCAAAATATGCGTTTATTGAATAATCTTTTATATTTTCATTCTGTGAAGTGAACGTTTTTTTAAAAAAAAAAAATTGCACGAAGGTATTTTTATGAATTTTATTTGAAGAAACTTTAAATTGACCCAAATTAGAACACCAAATACTACGATTTTGTCAATTTAAAGATTTTGATTTTAGTATTATCATCTGCCAGTTGAACTTAACTTTTTGATTTATTTTATTGGGTTTAGAAAAAACGCCGCATTTCTCTTCTCTTGGATAAAGCTTAAGTATTATTATATTAAATATAAATTAAATTTAAACCACATAAAAAGTAAAATTTTACGTTGAACTTTATGAAATTTATATTTAATCTTTGAAAATGTTTCACAGAAATTACTTTTGCCTTAATGTGTTGAAATTTGAATTTTTGAATATAGTGCTGTAGAGTTATTTTTTAAATTCTGCTGCTGGGGGAGGGGAGTTGCTTACAGACATAACACAATATGTTATGTCCATAACAGGCAGTTTTTAATTTTTAAAAAAAAACATTTTATGTATCTAAAAGTTATTAAAAATTGGAGTAAGTGTTAATAGAATTGCTCTAAAAATGAATTATTATTCAAAAACATGTTTTTTTTTCCTGACATAGATCTCTTAACTATTTTGGTTCAATAGTGTACATAGACTTAAGTGCACACCTCTGCAAGATTTAGAAGTAAAGTGCATCTTATCTCAGACTTATCTTAAAAAATTTATATTTATAATGTGAAGCAAGAACACTGTGGTGAAGAGATATTCGGATATTTATAATCATCAATTTTATTTTAATTTAATAAAATGAAAATAGTAATTGTGATTAAAAGATAGAATTAAGGTACTAAATTGAAACACTGTATACATTTATCATATTTTAATGTTTTTTTCTTTCTTTTTAACAATAATAGAAAATAACTCATCTTATAGTAATTACATTCAAAGATTATTATATACGAACGAATTAGGGTTATTATTATATATGAACGAATTAAAATTTATTTTATAATTAAAAAATATTTTGATTTTAACTCATGGTGCTTATTGGTGCTTATTTTTTCTGGTAAGTGCGCTCTTATACCTCTGCGGAGGTACCAGGATGTTATGTATTTATTTTTTCCAATGCCCGCCTCAACTCAAGGGTATTAGGGCAGATTTGTTGGCCATTCTCTCACTGGCACCATTCTAGGTGGGCCAACAATGCTCCACAGCTGGTGCAGAGAATGAAAGAACATCCATGCCTTGTCCAAGATTCGAATCTAAAACCTTTCTGATGCAAGGCCAGTTCCCTGTCCCCTACACAGTTCGGGTTTAGTGATGTTATTTTTTATAATGTTATTTACCTTTAATATTGTTTAAAGCCTTGTAATTTTAAGCTACATTTTTGAATTTAAAATTATTAAAAACTGTTAAATAGTGTAAATATTGATTGTGAAATAGATTTTTGCCTGATTTGTCTTTGTTTTGTTTTAGATGACTGCAAGTGGTGAAACTTCTACACAAAGACCTTTACACTTTGTTGTATTAGTAGTCGCAGCCTTTCTGTGTTACTATAATTCCCTGTACTGTGGATTTGTCTTTGATGACATGTCTGCAATTAGAGACAACAAAGATCTCAGACCTTCCACACCTGTACTTAATCTTTTCTTTAATGATTTTTGGGGAACACCTATACATAAGGTCAGTCTGATCTTAAAATATCTTTGTTCAGAATCACCAAACTTTATATGTTCTTTTTTTTTTTAAATAGAATTCTAGTCAAAAATGGAGTAAGGAGCCATTGTGGCTCAGGGGTTAGAATGCTCATCTCCCTATGAAGTGACCCAGGTTTCAATACCAGCGATGGCTGATCGATATGAATTCTGCACCCCGCTTGCATCGACCTCAGTGCTGACGTAATAGTTCCTTAATCATAGACGAATAATGAGCTAAGAGTCCACTTGCTGTCAGGTTAACAGTGGGAGGTTTTCGTTGTTTTTCAATCCGTGTAACGCAAATGCGGATTAGTTCCATCAAAAAGTCCTCCATAACAGCGGATTTCTCCCAATACTTCATCCAGGAACTCCCTTGTTTTCCTGATTGGGTTCAAAATTTCAAGGGTTTGTTTTTGGACATTTGTAGTTGTAACCTCAAAATTGGATCAGCTGTTCAATGATGATTATAAAATTAAAAAAAATAAGTAAAAAATTGTGTGCTGCAAAATAATAATTAAAATTAAATGCTTTGTGACGATGACATGATTCAAAACATACCGGCAATGAAACAACATACTGTTTTATTGCCTGATGAAACTTGGAAGTTTTTTTTTTTGATAGTTGCCTTATACCTTCGCTCAGTTTTCACAAGCAACTTAAGAGGTTTTCATGTATTTAATATTTTCTTCCTTGTAAATGCATCGGCAAGTTTTAATAACAGTTCTGTTTTTTTTTTTTTGCTTAAATATTTATTCGCAAACTCGTTCAAAGTCATTTTTTTGATTTCACTTTTGATAAGGATTCAAACAACAGGTGCTGTATTTACTAAATGCAATTAAATTGTGTTTTAATTACAGTCTCCCATGGTTCTAATATTTTTATATAGTTAATCTTGATTTATTGCCTATATTTTCATGCAACTATTTGACTATAGATGGCAATTATAAATGGATTTAATGTCATCCATAAAAAATAATGTAAGGTAAAATTAATTTTACTTTTTTTACACATAATTTTATTTTAGTGTCTAAACTGTTTAATTTTTTAACTTTTATGTAAAGATTATTAATGAATTAGCAGGTTATGTAAATGTGATTTTAAATGAGTTTCAACTCAAGGGTTCCCTTCATTCACAAAACTTTTTAACTAACTTCATTAAAAAAACTTAACTAATGGAGAATTATATGTACTGATNCTGTCATGTCAAAAACCACTTTTTGACGTCAAAAACCCAACCCTGAAGGGTTCCCTTCATTCACAAAACTTTTTAACTAACTTCATTAAAAAAACTTAACTAATGGAGAATTATATGTACTGATTTTTCCATATTTATTCTGTAACTAACTAATATTTTTGAATACTTTTAATTTTATTCATTCAAATGTGTTTCATTGATCTCAGTTAATCAATTTCGAATTTTAAGGTTGTAAATATTTTTAAAGCTTGAATTTTAAACTTCTTTAAACAATTACACAAATATTTACAAAATATTTACAAAAATTATTCAAAAATATTAATTATTTACTGAATAAATAAAGAAATTTCACAGATAAAATTCTCTGTAGATTAATATAGCAGAAGTAAAATCTTTTTCTCTTTTTGTTTCTTTGTATCTTTTTTTTTTCATTTAAGGTGACCTTTAAATTGACGTTTTCAAATAAATAATTACATTTATAAATTAATTAAAATACCAAATGGTTAGCATTTAACAAAAAAAATTTGAGAGTGTACTAAGTGTACTTTTTTACTAAGAATTGTAAAAAAAATAATAATTCTCAGAAATAATTGACAACCATATGGAAATTAATTACAACCTTATGAAATCTTAAATTGTTTTAGGCTAGATAAAAGATTTTGACCTTTAATAGTTTGATTAGTATTTGTTGTTAAATAGTAGATATAGGTGTTATATTACTCAATTACAATTGTGTCATAAATAAATATTCTGTTTTATGATTTGTATTTTCTGATTTATGATGGCCTTCATTTTCAAGTTTAGGATCTGAATTCTGTAGTTAGTTGATATTTTTACACCTTTAGCCTGACGGCAAGGGGACTCTAACCCATGATCCGTCTACCACAGGGGATATGTTACATTAACACTGTGGTCAACGCAATACGGGTCTGGTGTTCTTATTAACCAGCCATCGCTGGGATTTGAACCCGGGGCAAACGCTGAAAGATAAACGCTCTATCCCCTGAGCCACCACGACTCTGGATCAAGAGGGAAATTTTCCTCCATGGAGGACTTTTTAAGGGAACTAAACGACATTTGTGTTACATGGAAAGGAAAACCTTCCATGGTTAGCATAGGGCAAGGGGATTCTGTCTACCACTAATGATATTTTACGTTAATGCTGTGGTCAGTGCAAAATTCTTATCAATCAGCCATTTCTGGGATATCAAGCCCTGAACCACTCATTGGAAAGTGAGCGCTCTATCAGAGCCTCAACAGCTCTTTGTCATTGAAATTGATATATTTCTTCTAACCTATTCAATAATTGATATATATTGAATTGGCATTTTCTTAATTGACTATTTTTCTTTCAGGAGCACAGCCATAAATCATATCGACCGTTAACGGTTATCACTTTTCGTATCAACTATTATCTTCATCAACTTAGTGCTTGGGGATACCATTTTTTCAATATTATTCTACATGTTTTCGTCTGCATTTTGTACTTACGGTGAGGCTTATTTGTGTACCTTTTGATTTTAAGAATATTATATCCATTCACTTTTAGAAGAGTTTTTTATTGTTCATTAGTAATTATTTGATGTTTATTTTACTTTTGTTAGATTTTAAGGCATTTTGTATTCCTAAAAAAATTTACTGTCCAATGTCGCACAATTTGTTTAAGAATACTCCAGAAATAGGTTACAACTTTTTTATCTTAACTTACGGAGTTCTTATTTGTTACATAACTAATTAATATTTTATTAATTAGTGAAATGTACTCTACTCCATCTAATCACCAAATTTTATGTTTTAAGATTGTAAGTAGTTATAAAACCTTAAATTTTGAAAAAGTTATAAAATATTAACTTTGTAACTAGATAGAAAATATATTCATTACGTCCTAGTAGTTCATAAAATTCTAAATTAAACTTTATATTAGTGATGTTAATAAATTAAAAAGTCTTGAGTAAATCAGAAATGAGACAAAAATGGATATTCTATATTGTCTTGATTAAAAAATAACAAAGGTTGTTGTAGGCCATTAAAGCAAGGGATGCGATTGTTCTTGTTTTCCAGTGGCGCCATCTATAGCCTCTTGGACATGGGCCAATGTCCTACCAACTAGGCTATCCTGGCCGTTTTTTATCTCAGTTTTTATACTTTGTGTTCACTTTTTGTGGAATGACCCCACAGATCTTAAAAATATGGTAAAGTAGTTTATACAGAAGAGCGATTAATTGCTTATGCTTCTTAATGTTAACTTCACTATTTGCATATTTTGCTTATTTTGAATCTGGAACTATTGAACCAGACAGATTTAACGTGCACCAGCCACTATTTAATGCACAGAGAGTCTTCGACCGGCTGGATATGAACTCCCATTCTCACAAACATGAGTTCTCCCTTCCAACCAAGCTATCCTGGCCTAAAAATAACAAATAAAAATATAGAATGTTAACAAATTTAAAAAACAAAAATCATTGCTGCTTATAATGAACTAAACAGAATTAAGTAAAATTCTATTAAAACTGTTGGCAAATATCCCTTGATTTTGAGTCAGGTGTATTTTAGTACTCTTATTTTTAAAATAACAGGTTTCTATAATTGTTTCAAGATTTATATGTTTTCAAATAAATAAACAAGATTCCTTGAAAATTGCTGCCAATTAAACAAACAAATAGATAAATAAAATGAAAAAAGAAATACTTGTGATAACTGCTTGTAGTATTGAATAGAATTGAGTAAAATTAAATTAAAATTGGCATAAAATGCCCTTAGATATAGGGTCAGATGAATTGTGAAGCCCGTTAAGATAGTAACATTTTACAACTTTTTTCAACATTTATATGTTAACCTTTGTTTTTACTTTAAACTATATCTTATTTTCATTCCTTAATTTGTTTCAGATTATGTCAATATTTTTTATCTTCTACTGCTAGTTTCATTGCTGCGCTTTTATTTGCTGTACATCCTATTCACACAGAAGCGGTGAGTGTAATTATTTAAAACTGATTGAGATAATGTTAGGTACTTATGTACTGCCATTCACTTATGTACATCCCTTAAAAAAATTATTCTTAGTAAAAATAGAAAATTTAAAATTGTTTTTTTGTATGTGCTTGTAAATATTCTTTTTTAATAAAAAAAAAGAAAATAATAAAGTAAAGTAACTATTGGAATTGTTGAATTCATCTGCATTAAATTATCTTTGAATTATAAATTAAAATGAATTAAAACTGGCAACTATATCTATGAAATCTCAAATTTTTTAAATCCATTTTTTAACTATTGATCTTTTAACAAAATTTCTTTGTTTCTTCATTGAATAAATATCCAGCCTGTTATTTAATCAGGTCCTATTTTCAAATGAGTTCAAAGTTGTTGATTAAAAGGTTAATATGAAGTTAATGTGCAATGGAATTGCTTTTTTTGTCAGAGTTGAAAAATAAAGAGTAATTTATTAAAAAAAATTTTAATGTGCTTTTAATGCAATTTACTACCATCTTTTAAAATAGATCAAAGTCACTAATTTGCTAGGTATAGAATTTGGTTGTAAAAACTGATAAAACATATTACTGACTTTAAAGTGCATTTTTTTTAAAGAAAATTAAATTTTATTCCAAAACCATGTTTAATTATAAACTTGAAAAAATGGATGGTTCATAGTTATTGTGGTTTTGTTTAAGTATGAAATAAACAAGATGGCTTTATTTTTTTTCTTCAGGTAACTGGTATTGTAGGAAGGGCTGAAATTCTATCTTCAATTTTCTTCCTTCTGGCTTTCATAGCTTATATTAAATCCACTTTACCTCTGCATAATACTGGCATAAGTAAGTTGCAAATATATATGTTTTGCTTTACTTGATTTCCCCCCCCCCCAATGTTGCTAAGAAATGATGTACACCATATCAAACTACATCTAGGAACTCAAAATCTGCTCCCCCCTCTGATATTTTTTCCATATATGTAGTTATAGTATTTCTAAAAGTTAAACTTAACATAAATTACGTTTAATTTTTTAGTTTCTCACTTGTCATTAAGAAAATTTTTGTAAAATAATAATTATAGAGTAGAAACCGAATTATTTGGAAGACTGAGTACTATCGAGGATGTCTGAATTTTTAAATTTTCCGGATCGCTAAAAAATTACTCAATATAGCTTAACTATAAACCTACGTTAACCATCTTAGCCGTTTTAGTATTCTAATTAAGAAATTGTATTTTAACCTTATTACATTTTGTGGGAAAGTATAGTGATAAGCTTTTTTATTACCCTTTCACTTTCTGTTTACTGATATGCATTTCTAATGCATTTCCTTCTTGTAAATCAAAGAGAAAATGAAATCAGCATGACGTTTCTATATGTATGATTGATGGTAGTTTATCGAAATAACTAATTTGTCCCTTCACTACCCATTGTTGACCTAAAGATCTTCAAAGTAAATATGACTACACTAGGTGAAAAAAAGTTCCCACACCTTTCTCACTATTCAAATTCAAGGACAACTGAAATTTTTGCATTTTGACGAAGGATTTAGTAGTTTCCCCCTCAATTTAACACATGGGTGTTAGTTCCATCACCCATGGGTGTTAGTTGCTCCACAAAGGCAATTTCTCCCAATATTTAATCCAGGAGTTCCCTTGTCTTCTGGATTGGGTTTCAAATTACAAGGCTACTGACTTGAACATTAGTAGTCGTAAACCCAAAAAAAATTTGGTCGGCTATTAAACGACAGTTGTAAAGTAAATATATATGTAGGGAGCCGTGATGGCTCAGGGAATAGAGCGTTCACCTTCCAATTAGGTGAACTAGGTTCAAATTCCAGGGATGGCTGGTCGAAAAGAATTCTGCACACGGCTGGCACCGACCACAGCGCTGACATAAAATATCTTCAGTGGTAGACGGTACATGGGTTAGAGTTCCCTTGCCATCAAGCTAACCGTGGGAAGTTTCTGTGGTTTTCCTCCATGTAACGCAAATATGGGTTAGTTCTATCAAAACGTCCTCCACCAAGACAAATTTCTCCCCAAAGCTTGATCCAGCAGTTCCCTTGTCTTCTGGATTGGATTCAAAACCCCAAGTCTATTTGGTTGAACATCAGTAGTCATACACCCAAAATTGAGTTGGCTGTACAATCATGGTTATATATATATGAAAAATATACTGGTATAATATATTCTTATTAGTTCCTATTGTTTATAAAGATATTTTATTTATTTTTGTTACTTTTTACTGAAACCAGAAAAAGTGAATTTTATTTAATGAAAAAATTTGTTTCATTTTTAATAATTTGATTTATAAATTATTTTAATGTAATTAAAATTTGATTGTTATAGTGAGACAAAGAAGCATTTTAACAAAAATATGTTAATATTTTGCCTAAAAGTCAAATCTGAAATATTCCTTTTCAAAATTCAAAATTTTTCTTCTCATATAAGTTTAAATTTTTTTTCTCCAGATGATTATTAAAAAATTATTTGAAGCTGATTCAGAAATTTAGTATAATTTTCTATCTTTACATAACAGTGTTTTATTATTAAATAAATTTAAACATCACTGAAGATTAATTTTTTGAATCTAATTACTGTACTTTTGTGATAACCATAACTATTTAATTATTTAGATCGCCTTCCTTTGAGCTGTTGTCTATTTTTTATCATTTGTGCTACATTGTCTAAAGAACAAGGCATTACTGTTGCTGGTGTGTGCTTCTTGTATGAAATTTTTGTTGTTCAAAAGGTGAGAATATTATATTCATATTTGTGCTTCTCAGTTACAATCCTATCAACAGAATTCACTTATATTAACTCTTTTGTAACAAAACTTTTGATTTTCATAAAAGTCTTGTCTTAACTTTCACTATCAGTTCATATTTGAGCTATAAAGAAACGACCATTTGACCAAAGCTTGTTATTTTTTCTGAATGACTCTGAAATGACTTTTTATTTGCACTTTCTTCTCTCATGTTGTAAATATTTATTCATTGCTTAATATGTATTATTAGCTGCCAACTCTACTGTATTTTGCCAGTCTTCTTTGCATTATTGATTTAAACAAAATTTCTCCTGGATTTTATATTTTCCCTAAAAATTATAGATAGATATTTTACTTTGCTCAGTCATTGCTTGTTTGTGTATTTAAATAAGTAATACTGCTAAACATTAAAATAATTCAAATTCAAAATAATAAGTTTTTTTTTAAAATTTTCTTTTAAAATTATTTTTTTATTTAATTTTTTTTTATTTAAACAACTTAAAACTCCTCATGCACCACAAAGTATAGCATGAGGCTTACAGTTGTAAGTAGAAAACAAAAAGAAGAAAAATTTACAAATTTACATTAAAAACAAAATTTCGCAAGGCCGAACAACTTAACTGTTATTTAAACAACTTAAAACTCCTCATGCACCACAAAGTATAGCATGAGGCTTACAGTTGTAAGTAGAAAACAAAAAGAAGAAAAATTTACAAATTTACATTAAAAACAAAATTCCGCAAGGCCGCAAGACTTTCAATACTTTTGACCAGTTCTGATAAGACAGGTGGCCAACAAATAAAAAGACGTCTCAAATCAGTCTTTAAATTCATTCGGGCACTCGCATACAGACTACAGTGAAGAAGAATATGTTCAGCATCTTCATCAGCATCACCGCAAGCACAAATTCCACTGGTCTGCAGATGGAAACGAAATAAATATCTCTTAAAATTTCCATGGTTTGTTAAAATTTGGGTCAATTTAAAATCAGTTGCAAAGAATTTACATTGCAAACGGTGAAAAATGGATGGAAAGAACCTTTTCGTCCAAAGCGACCGAGGCGAAGCAAGAAATTCAGCATTGATCAGTTTGAATCCTTTTTTTTGTTTTGTTACAGTATCGTAAAATTTTCATTTTTTGCAACTCTCTAATTTTAAATTAATTGAAGAATGTCTTTAGAGCTATCTAAATGGATGTAAAGTAATAAAAACAATCTACATCCAAGCTCATTTAATGTCAATCATAAATAGAAAAATTCCAGAAAATATTTAAATTTGTAATTATTAGTGGAATGTAGTGGAATTTTATTGACTATAAAAATCCCGAAAATTCTAGTAAATATAATAATATTAATAGAAAATCTAGGAAAAATATTTTAGATATTAAGCAATGCTTAATACCTATTATAGTCTTACACTGCATACTGCTTAATACCTATTACCTACTTACACTGCTTAATACCTATTACCTATTATAGGTAACATTCTATTAATATTATTTTGAAAAATCTACTGTTTTTGTTTATCGTTTGCATATTCACAGCTTTGGATATTTATAATTAATACAAAATTAGTCTTATTTTTAAAAATATTTCATTTGCAAATACAAAATTAATGAAATAATAATAATTACTCTACATCTCCAGAATGTTCAGCAGCAGAGAAAATTTAAATTTTTTATTTGAACTGCAATGTAGCCTTAAATGCATATTTGACATGGAAATTTTGTAGATAGACCAAAGAAAGTTTTTTAAAAAGAAGAAAGATAAGAAAGAAAGACTAGTTTTATATAAAAATAACAAGGATTTTCTCGTTTAAATCCAGTAACACAGTTTTGCTTTTTTTAAAATTCATATGACTTCAGTTTTGTTCTCATTATACAATAATATATTTGCTATTTCAGCTCCGTTTCAGTGATTTGGCACAACTTTTACAAAATGGATCTATATTCAAAGGATTACCCATGTGGCTTAGAAATATGGTAATTAGAATTAGCTTTGTTGCAGCCATTACCATTTGCCTTCTAATAGCTAGAGTTAAAATTATGGGAGCACAGTTGCCAATATTCACGAAGTAAGTTCATGATCTTTACTTGTGTATCATTTGCTAAAAATCCAGAATATTGAGAATTAAATTTATATGGTTAAAAAATTTGAACAGAACTTTACACAGAAGAGAATTTTTCGTGACATTGATGTTTTATTTAAATTTCTCATTAACGAAATTAATTTAGTTTTTGATCAGTTATTACAGTTCCACTTAGCTTAATTTTAATTTATGTACATAAAAGGAAAAAGAACTTTTAGAGCACATTAAAGTTTTTTTCCATTATTTTGACAAAATTTATTTCAGATAAATAGTTAATATCTGAAATTTTTTTCACTCTCTCAAGATGTTATAACAGAGGTTGGTATGAAGAGTGTTCCATGCATTTTTTTTTTCCATTTAAAATAACGTGTCATAAATGCAAAAGTATTTTCAGTGCTCAATGTATTTCAGATATACTACTATATTTTGTTACCTGGCCTTGTGTTATTATTCAGAAATCAACCCTAATTGTCTTTGAATATTCGAAATTTTTTTGTTGTTTTGATTTATGAGTATTACTATTAAATAATGAAACAAGCCTCATTTAAACTAATCAATATGAAACTTTTTTTTCTCTTTTTTAATGATACTGTTTTTTTATTTTTTTATCCTTAATTAACTAAAAAAATCCTATAACTTTATTTAATAAATTAAGTATATATTGTTATTCAAAATTGTGAGCTTAAAAGTATAAGTAAACAGAGTAGAAATATTTTATATTCAAATTCATTTAATGATAAACATAAAGGGGGTAATATTTTATTTGTAATAGTTATCGGGAAATTTATAATATTTCTTTCTATTATTTCTATCAATTATTTCTTTCTTATTTTTATGTTAGTAGCTACATAAAATAATATTGTCTCTGTAGTATTGAAAATTGAATAAGTGTGATATTTAATTTTCAGTTTTAACTGATTAATTCATGAATTTTTAGATTTGATAATCCAGCTGCTGCTTCTTCTACTCCAGTTAGACAATTAACATTCAATTACTTACTACCAGTTAATGCTTGGCTTCTTCTGTTTCCTTCTGACTTGTGCTGTGATTGGACGATGGGAACTATTCCACTTATAACTTCACTCTTAGATCCTCGTAATTTAGCCACTCTTGCCCTTTATGCAACGTTAGCTGCTATGTTATGGTTTGCTTTGACCGCAGACCCGAAACACTTCCAAATTATATCTATAGTAAGTTGTTTTATTAACTTTATCATCTATCAATTTCTTTCGATTATATTTATAAGTACATGTTGGGTTACTGACATTCAATCAATATTTATATTAGAAAGAAAATTTGAATGAAATTCTGTGAGGGTTATATTTAGCTTTTTTTATCTCACAAATAAATATTATAAATATAATATATATAAAGTAGATATATATAATAAATTATGTATAATAAAATGTATGTAATAAAATATATATAATAAAATATATATAATAAAATATATATAATAAACGCGTGTACTNTGTAATAAAATATATATAATAAAATATATATTATAAAATAAATATAATATAACAAATAAATAAACATAAATGCAAATTAGTCTAGATTCTATGAGCTATCAAAAATATATCTCCACCTACAAAATAGAGAATTCAAAATTTGTTATTTGAAACAATTTAAAATTGAAATTTGATTCATGAATTTGTCATTAATTATATATGAAATTGTTTTTGATTAGTCAATGTCACTTCTGGTGCTTCCATTTCTACCTGCTTCAAATATGTTTTTTCCTGTGGGCTTTGTGGTGGCAGAACGGATATTGTACATACCTAGTATGGGCTTCTGCTTTCTTATAGCCTATGGATGGAGCCTTATATACAGAAGAATGTAAGTCACCATTTAAAATATACTTTAGAAATTATGATCACACATTATAACAACAATCATTATTAATATACATGCTAATGAAGATAAACATAAATAAAATATTGGCAACTAAAATGTAAAAAAATAAAACAGTGTGAAATTGTTTATCATAAAAAATGAAGAAAATGAAAATGTAAAAATCTTAAAAATTATTCATTAGTTCTTTAGAAAAAACTGTATTATAAGGTTGCCATAAAAATTTACTTTAAAAGATGTGGAAATTTAAGAAGAAAAAAAAAAAACTGTACATCAAATAAAGACATTACATAATTTATTTTCAAAAATTGATTCAATAGGATCCCCAAAAAACTATATTTATTGTTTACATAGGATAAACAGTTTGTCTTATTTTAAATATGAATTAAAACTCTGCTTTAATAATGTTTATATGTTTATAAATTTTTATATCAATGTTATGATGTTTGGAGTCTTTTTCTCCAAATATCCGTATTTAGCTTTCCTGTGTCTCAAAAACCTCTTAGAAATTATTTTAATTCTTTTTTTCTATTATTTAACATAATATTTCATTTAGTGCTATAAATAATATAAAATGACACAAGTTTTATTTTTCAAAAAAAAATTTTCTTCATAAAATCTACATTAAAATGTTATTTAAATTTCATCAACCATATAAAAAAATATTGACAATTACAATATAAAATTAATCCCACACATTTGCTTATGGCATTGATTTTTGCACTACATCATTCAATAAACACAATAAAATGGTGATACTAACTTTTTAGTATCAGAATTTTATTGTATTGAATTATTTGTATTTCTTTTAATACATAAAATTAACTAAGCATTTTTAATACTAAAAGAAAGTACAAACCTTTTTTCATTTATCATTTTTAAATCATTATTGATGAAATTTTTTAAAAACTTGCTAAAATAGTTACCATTGTTTAACCTGTGTTGTTCCTGAACAACTTACTTCAAAAAATTGCTTCAATAACGATAGTTAAATTAACAGTTAAAGACAGGCTTAATTATTTAATCCAGACATTTTATCATTCATGGTAATTATGTTTGATTATAAAATGGAACTTTTATTATACGGAAAGAAAACTTTACTTCTTCACACTAAAATCAATTCAAAATATTCTGTATAAGCTCTATATTTTTACTACATTAGAATTTAAAAAAATTATAGTGTATTTATATTTAATTTTGTGAGGTACAAATTATGTAAAAAAAAATGTAGTTCACAAAATGGTGCAAATTTTAAAACTATTTTTCTTTGCTCTTTTCAGGGGAAGAAAACGTTATTTGATATATCTTATACTAGTAGTCATTATATTTCATTCTTTAAAAACGATTCTAAGAAATTTTGATTGGTAAGTAATGATTGTCTTTATAAAATTGTTGTTTTTATGATATTTCATATTTTTTTTAAACATAAATTCAGTATATTTTCAATCAATTGTGTTCTGATTAACCTGTATTATTGTCAACATTGACCTGTGACAATTGTGATACAGTTGGGAATTGTTGTTGGTTCAAAGTACTCTGTAAAAAAATTTTATTAAGTCAGTGAAACTGTAAATCTAAAAAAATGATTCTTAGTAATTTTGATTGATGTATCAATGCTTATGATCAATATCTGTTGCATTGTATCAATAATCACTATCTGTTACATTTTGCAGGTTACTAAGTTTTGACAATTTAATGATGGGGATTTTTTTTTTTACGAGGGAGAGAGAGTTTTTACACAATAAAGCTGGGCTATGCTGAAGAATGATGCTTTTTGTCTATGCACAAAATTTCTGCTTAATCAAATAAGCCTAATTTAGTTTGAATTGCTTGTTTATTACAAGTTATTTATATATTATTGAAAGGTAGTACAAGGATTATTACAAGGTATATATTAAAAAAGATCAAATTTTCAACTCTATTTTCTACAATATTACTTGTTAGGTACATTGAACAAATTGAAAACAACAATGGACTTTTTTTTTCCAAAATAATCTTGACTTAAAATGTTTTCATCAAAGGTTTTAGATAAAGTTATGCTTCATTCTTGAAAAATTGCTCAATATAACACATTTCTAAGGTTAATATGGATCCTTATCAACATGCATTTATTAGTTAATATTAATATATCATTGTGTTATTAAAATACAAAACTATTACAAATGCAAGGAAATTGAAAATTTTAAGGGTTGCTTGTATGTAATGTAGGTGTTAAATGTATTTGTATCATTGAATATTTTTTATGCATACTAATAAAAATTAAATTACATTTTAATTCAGAGCAAATTAATATTGAATACTTAAAGCTGCAGCTAATATCACAATAATAAAAGTATAAGACTGCACAAATGCTAAAAATATACATATTTTCATTTAGAAAATTGAAAAATTTTTTAGTCTTCTTTTATTACTTTGAAAATATTTGTTGCCTTCATATATTGAAATATAATTATAAATTTTAACTTTGGAAAAGCTCTATTATATTTCTTTTAAGAAACAAATTTTTATTTAATTAATTTATTATTTTTAAGGCAAAATTATACCAGTGCTTATTAATAATCATTTACTTTTAGTTTATTTTACTTTGCTATTTTATATTATGTTACAAATATTATTTTACATTAGGAATTATTTTATATCCATTTTAGGGTGTCTGAAAAAGAAATATTTGCTGCTGGTCTAAAAGTAAATCAAAGAAATGCTAAGCTGTATAATAATGTTGGCCATGCCTTAGAAAGTAAAGGCCAATTCAGTGAAGCTCTGCATTATTTTCTGCAAGCTGCAAGGTGATCATTTTCTCTCTATTGTTTAAAAGATTAATTTATACATTACAGTTTTTGTGGATGTGATGCCACAATAGGCATTACATATTTCCTACCTTTTAAAATTTCTTGAATTTCTTAAACTTATATTTTTTAAGTTATTCTTAATAGAATTGCAATTAAATTAAATCAATTATTTAACTTTTATTGTAATTTATGAAAAGCTAACATAAAATATTTTATTCTTTTCTTATCAATCAATGTAAGAGCTAATTTTTTATTTCAGTACTAATGTACTCATTAATTCATAAAATTTGAAAACAAAATTCTATTTATAACTCTTTATTTCTTACCGCAAATACGTTTAAGTGGCATGTTTATACTAATTCTCACAGTCTTGTTGGGGATTCGTAATGGCCAAAGTATTTTTAAATCTGATATTGATTATGAAGAGTTGGCTTTCTATTTGGCGATGTTATATTTCAAAAAATCACCAACCTTGGATCTCTTCCCCATGCTCCTAATTGTCTGTTGGGAACAATTAATTCACTTTCAATTTCCAATTTTTTGGCGACTGGGGGTGCCCTTTTGGGCATCCCATTCCCATCTGTTGAATATCAAAAAAATTGTAATTAAAATTTTCGATTAAAGAGAATGATTTTGCTTAGGGTTTTTTTCTTTAATTTTATATTTTAAATATGGCCATTTTTAATCAATTAATATTTACTTAATAAATAATATCTTTCTTTTAGGGTATTATTCATTTCTCTGAGATAATTATCACTATAGCACATCCAAATTAAGATGTATCTGCAACGACCAAAAATATGCTTAAAATATGCTGCCTGTACGAATCCACTAATTAATTTAAATCGATCTCCGTCCCAACAATGGGGAAAATTACATTATATGTGACATTTCGTGAAATATGTACATAAAAATGATGTACCACCAATTGACACAAATTTATAAATAATTCTGAATTAAACAATAGAGGAGACAATTGTTTCATTTATAAAAGATTTTTAAGGTGCCAAAAAGTCATAATTTTGAAAATAACAGCTGCTAAATAAAAACTATGCAACTCCAAATAAAAACTACTTATGATTTAAGATTGTTGAATGCCCATAATTATTTAGTGATGATGATCATCACTCACTCATTAAGAATGAAGCAGCCGCAGGAGACAGCTTGGTGAAAAAAGGAATTTATATTTAAGTAAGTTAAATACTGTGAGGAAATACCCTCAGGAAATACCTCCTCTATTTGCGACCACTTTTGGGAGGAGCAGAATTTTTTCCATAGACTTCCTGTTGAAGAAAATCTTTAGGAGAGACCATTAAAACCTCTCTCAGTGACCTGGTAAACATTTGCACCAAATGGGGGAAAAGGTCAAATAAAGAAACATTAAAAAATATTTGTGTGAGGCTCTTATTGAGAGAGCTCTTTTTGACGATACAATCTCATGTTGTATCGTCAAAATACTAGTCATACACAGTCAGAGTGCGCTAAAGACAATGCTATCAATAATTTACTTTTAAAGTTTAAAGCTAAATTAGGAAAAAAAGTTATTTTAGAAAAAACAAACATCTCAAACAAACCTCTTCTGCTCTTCTTCTAATGATATAAATTTAAATGCAAACTTAAAAAAGAGAAACATACTTGCTTATTTATTTAAAATAGCTTTATCATTTATAAATGGTAAATTTGTTTTTAAATATAATTATATCAGTTGGTATTATTTTTATGGACTAAATTTTATTCATCAATCCACCTTTTCATGATGTCAACAGAAGTGGCATTTCCGCACCAAGAAAATGACACTGACTAAAATTAGTCATTACAAATTTTTTACCGTGTTGTAAAATCATTTTAGTGTCCAACCTGATGACATTGGTGCTCATATGAATGTGGGGAGAACCTACAACAACTTAAAAATGTACGATGAAGCGGAACAAGCATTTTGGAAGGTAAGTTATATTCTAAATCTTGTGTTGAAAAATATTTTTTAAAAATAAACAATAGTTTAAAGTAATGATGTTTCAAGTCATTGCAATGATATCTTGTGTCAGCTGTAAAACTACAGGATAGTCCATGCTGTATATCTTAAAAGTTAAATAGGTCGTATAAACCCAATTAATTTTTTCAACTGTATCAATAAAAATCTTTATTTTCAAGTACTCTATCTGGCCAAAAATATCCGGACACCGGGCTGTTATACTCAGGATATCTGCACACCTGGAAAGTCATAAATTTCGGTATTGAACAAAATTTGTAATGAAATGTCATAATTTTAACTATTTAAAAAAAAAACATGAAAAGTCATGGATTTAGATCTCCAAAAAATCTTATTTTTAAAATGGAATTTACCCCCCAATTTCATGGTGTTCCGAATATCTGAATTTGTAGCAAAATCCCCACTCACACTTCTATTTTATTAAAATATAAAATGTTGTTCTTATAAAATCATGTTCTTTAAAAATTATGGTGTTCTTTAAAAAAATTAAAGAAAAAACATCATTTCTAGAGCGAGTTATCTTTTAAACTTCTGTGATTTCAGAATTTTTGTTATTATTTATTTTTATTTTATCAATTTAAAATTTTAGCTGAAGCAAACCAGTCATTGGCGAATTTTTTTATTTCTAAATGAGAACAGAAAAGATTAGGAGTATTTCTTTCCTTTCCGATGAACAAGAAAAGTGTCTTTAAATTGTAATTCTGCAGAAAAAAAGAGAAAAATTATTTGTTTTTGAAATTTTTTTTCCAGCTATTTTATTGCTTCAACTTTTTCTTTACTCTGTTTCTTAAATTTAGAATCTATAAATATGAAGATGCAGAGTATAACAGTTTTGGTTATACCTATCATTTCAATGAATGTTATTATAATGCTTTTTTAAATTTATTGTTGTGTTTTTGTTGGAGAAAATTGTAACTTAGTTAAGTCATGAAAAATTCTTGAAATTATTCATGGAAAGTCATGAATTTGAAAATCTAAAATGTTGCAGATGCCCTGTATAGTGGTAGAAGTATAATGGTGTGGGAGTGTTTCTCTTGGTTTGGGTTGTGTCCATTAGTTCCTGTAGTTGGAAACATGAACTCTGAGATGTATATTGACATTCTGGACAATGCGGCTCTCTTCCACCAAGATTACTGCTCCATTCACATATCGAGGCTTGCCCGGACGTTGTTTGACGAAATGGGTGTTTAAAATCTCGACTGGCCTTCTCAGTTCTAAATCCCAGAACACCTTTGGGATAAATTAGAGCGCAGATTGCATAGCCAGCCAAATCGGCCATCCTTCCTCACTGCTATGGAAGTCGATTCCAATGGCCACCTATCAAAAAACTGGTCGAAAGTCTTCCCAGGCGTGTGCAGGCTGCCATCAAGGCAAAAGGGGGAACTACATTATATTAATATGTGTCTCAGGTTGCTCTAAGTCCGAACCACTGGGTGTGCAGATTCTTTTGACCTTGTTTTTGCATTACTTTAATTACTTTTACTTATTTTATTAAATTACTTTTACTTTTTTATTTGATTACTTTTATTTTCTTTTTATTTAATTACTTTTCTATTACTTTACTGGATATTACAAATAATTTTTAACATTTTCTTCCACAGGCTAAAAATCTTTTACCTCGAGCTCGTCCAGGTGAAACATATCAGGCTCGCATCGCTCCGAGCCACCTTAATGTCTTTTTAAATCTTGCAAATTTAATATCTAGAAACGGCACCAGACTTCAAGAAGCCGATGCAGTAAGTTTTTTTACTCAGAATTTTTGCTTTTATTACATCTTATTCTAAACTAAAATTTAATCAGATACAAAGAAAAACTTAAACATCTTAGTGGAAACAAGAGAACTCTCACAAATCTAACAGCCTTACAGATATAGCTCATTGGTCTTCATGCTAGATCTGTAAAAAAAAAGTACTCAGTAGTAACTTCTTTTTTTCAGTGTATATTTCGAGTAAAAGTTTACGTTGATTTGAGAATAATTCCATGTACTATATTAACTAAAGAGCTATTACATAATATTAAACAATTTTGTTGCCATGTTACAAAGAGTTTTTTTTTTTAGATTATGTATATAAAAATTATTCTGATGATGTAGTTTGATTACTTTATTTACAGCTATATCGTCAAGCTATTAGGATGCGTTCTGACTATATACAAGCCTATATAAATAGAGGGGATATTCTCATAAAGTTAAACAAGTATGTCATTTTTTAATGTTGTATTGTCTTATAAACTAAAATGTTGTTATATTTAAGTTTATTGACTATTCTTTTATTGAGACAGAAAATGACATATGTTCTTGATCAGTTACTTAGTATTAAAATAATTTAAGTTAAAATATTAAAATTTATTACTGACTATCTTGCCATTTTATGTTTGTAAGATAATCATAAATATATTGTAAGATGTCAAAAAACTGTAACTGTAAATATGAGTTAGTTTCTGTTGAAAAAAAAAAAGGTTTACTATCAAGATGAGTTTTGTTATGTCTTTGACTCCCTAATTCATTTGTTTTCTGAGTTCAGCCTAAAGTAGAGATGCCTATTTTTGGCCTTATCCATTTTTGAGGGGGGAAAAAAACTAAATAGGGTAAAAACTATAACTTAAAGGAAAAACAAACTTTTATCTTTATTTTTTTATCAAAATATCAGAGAAGCATACTCACAAATTTATACACTGTAGGCACATTGTGTATTTTAATAATAATATACTTGTTAGTCTTGTTACTTTGGATAACATAATAATAAGTTACACTTAAATTTATTTTCAATTTCTTAAAATTTATTTTCAATAAACAATAAAGAACTGTCACATTTTAGAAATTTGAATAATAGGCAATTTTATTCATTTAAATATATCTGTACAAACCTGCTTCTAATGTAAAATTATATATTTTCTTAAACTTGAAATGAACTAAGAATATATAATCAACCAAGGGGATACTTTTAAATGAAAACAAACACGAATAAGACTGTTCAGATGCAAATAACATGTGACATGCACATGGACGCCAAGGGAATATTTGGATGTTGTTACATTCTAAAAAAAATAAATGAATAAAAAATCTTTAGTTTTAAACTGCAATTTTTTAGTTTAAAATTTATAAAACTTGCGCACTGGTATATTGTGACTGTCCTCTTCTGAAAATAAACGGTTAACTTAATTGTAGTAATTTAATAGTTAAATAACTATTTATTTATTTTTTATCAATGTTTTCTAAAACATTTAATTTAAGCTATTTTATATACTAAACTTAACTGTTAAGCATCTTAATTGTTACGCAAAATGCTTGCTTTCTCTTGAGTAATGCTTGCAAAAAGCATTAAATTTCTTTTTTTTTTCAGAAAAAAAAACTGTTTTAAAAATAATTTAATTTATATAAAAAGGACAAGCTTACCTAAGTATAGGGAGGTTGTATTTAATATCTGAATGGAGAACTTTTTTTTAGGACTTCTGAGGCAAGGGAAGTTTATGAAAAAGCATTGTCTCTCGATAACAACAATCCGGATATATATTATAATGTAAGTGAAAGATTTTTATTTTTGATGATGTTATATAAATTGTGCTTGTATTTACAGACTAACCATATATCTTTTTATGTTAGTTAAACAAATTTTATACTTTTGTTAAAGAAAAAAAAAGAAAGTGAAAAAATAATGAACTAATTTTTCCATGCATAAATGTTGGCTATTGAAAACCTGTATGACACTCTGTGAGAAGTATCTTCATTGTGTCATGTGTGTTTTCTATAACAGTTTCATTAAAAAGCAGAGAAAAATTTATTATGAATTTAAGTTTATCATTGTTTAGTTAATGAATAATCTTGTTTTTCTTTTTTAGTTGGGTGTTGTGCATCTGGAACAGAGCAAACTAACCGAAGCTTTGGAATATTTTGATAAAGCCTTAGAGTTAGATCCAGAGCATGAAGTAAAATAATTAGTATTTTATAATTTATGTTACATTTTGTACTAATGTAGCTTTAAAATAATTAGAGAAATAATAGTTAGAGTTTGTTTTTCAAACGATGTGATAGTGGTTTTTCTTTTCTACCTCTTTTTACTGTTAATTTTTTAATGTTGTGTTATTAGATGCTTGCTATATTAGTAAAAATTAATAATTTAAAAAATGAAAGATTGTTATTATTTTAAAATAATATTTATTACTCTACATTTCAGCAAGCACTGATGAACTCTGCTGTTCTTATACAAGAGAGTGGCAATGCTTTGAAGAGAAAAGTGGCCTATGACAGGTATGCAGAAAAAAAAATTGTTTACAGCTAAGAAATAACAAATTAGTTAATTTTTTTATTTATTTTCAAAAAGTTGTTTGGAACCTTAATGCTAAGAAACTACTGGAGGAAATTATATTGAATATTATATTCAGGTATTCTACAATATGGGATTTAAAGTCATAACATAATAAATGAACAAAAGAAGTTTTCTTTAAAAAAGTATAAAATTTAAAAAAGTGTTGCTATAAAACTAAGTTGTGCCATTTTTTAAGTTTAGTTTTTTTAATGAAAATTATGGATCAAAATTTTACAGTTCTTTTTCATGATTGTTAAGCTTTGGCTATCATATTGTTTTAATAATTAAACTTCAAATATCTGGCCTATCAATTTGAATTAAGTTTTTTTTTTCAATAATATTTTAAATTTGATATTTTGTGATGACCCATGAAATCAAATTTACTTTTTCAAGTTATCATCCTTAAAATGTTTTTCTGATTAAAATCTAATTGGAATATTTAGATACATAAAGATTTTCAATTTTCAAGCCTCCTTTACCGAGTAATTGGAGTTTGCAGACACATCAAAGCGTTTTATAAATAAATTTCTTTATTAAATATTTTTGAGCGTGTTCCCACCTGAATATTTTCAAAATATTAGACTTTTAAAATAATATGCGTTATTCAGAACACAAAGCTAAGCATGGCAAAATGCTAATTATAATTTGTTTTTAATTTTATGTCTTAGGTCTGTTTATATCGTGATGATTGAAATAAATCTGATTCTGATAATTATTTATTTTTATCATGTTCAAAAATTGTTAATAAATTTTTTTAATAAAGTTTTCATTGTACTGTTTAAGACTTCACAAGTTACTGAAGAAAGGGAAAGTAAACGAGAGAATTTATTTTAATCTTGCAATGCTTGCCATGGATGATAAAGAAAATTCGCTCGCTGAGAGATGGTTTAAGGAAGCTATTGAGGTAATTAATAAACACTCTGATGAATAAATTTCAATAAAAGTCGCATTGACATTCATTTTTATTTTATCACATTATTCTATATGATTCTGTTATATTATGAAAAAAAAAAGTCTCTTCTCACGTCTCTGTTCTAAATCTATGCTTTTTTACATATGTACTAATCAATAATATAATTGTAATTTGCAATTTAAAGAGCTTCGTAGAAAAACAGTTGTTTTGTTACAATTTCAGTGAATTTAGAAAATAGTATGAGAGCAATACAAAGGTTTTTCCCAAGAATTTTTTAAAACTAAAAACTGTGTTATTTAAAGGTCAAGTATTAATTTAACTTTCTATTTATAAATATATTAATAAAATTTGACATTCTAAAATATGTTAGCATAATATTATTTTGATATATATCTATGTTCTTTCATAAAGCTTCTCAGTCATGCATTTGAATAAATATACAGGGTGTCTCAGTTAAGCGTTTCAGAACTTCTAAGAGGGGGCATCCTGACGACTCGAAATCATATAGCAATGTGGGGTCGGAAATGCTTTCCTGAAGCGGTGACGTACGCAGAAGCACCATAAAGAAAAGAGACAGTAAGTGAAAAATCACTATAATAATATATTGAAAAAATTATATGGTACATGGGCCAAAGTAAGTTTCTGCCACCGGCTACAATGTAACACCTCTCATCTCCGGAGCATGGACATTCGAACATTCTGCAATACACCAGGCATATCTCGCAGGCAGCTACTGCGATTCTTGCAACCAGCATTATCAACAGGGGTGTCATAAACCAGTGTTTTCATATGACTCCAGAAATCAAGACATGATAGGTCGGGTGACCGAGGAGGCCATATAATTTTTTCAATGTATTATTATAGCGATTTTTCACTTACGGTCTCTTTTCTTTATGGTGCTTCTGTGTACATCACCGCTTCAGGAAAGCATTTCCGACCCCACATTGCTATATGATTTCGAGTCGTCAGGATGCCCCTCTTAGAAGTTCTGAAACGCTTAACTGAGACACCCTGTAGAAGTTTAGCTGCTTTAAAACTTAAATTGAAAAAATAAAATTTAAAACTTAAGAATTTTTTTTAACCTTATTTCTATTGAAAGAAAAAAACTTTTCTTCGTTTTATTTCTATTAAAAAAATTGGTTATTCATAGACAGCAAGATATTATTGAACAAAAGTACCTTCACATCAACTTGCACCGCGGGGATGACATCTTCTAAATTCCATTATTACCCAATATTCCTGAAATGATTTTTAAATGTTAAAATTCAATTATTGAAATATTTGTGTCAAATAATGCAAAATTTTCTCATGTTTATCCTTTCTATAGTTTTTCTATAGTATATTTTTTTTTAATACTTTAATATTCTTTATTTTGCTAATTTACTTATTGGTTTAATTTTATTCAAAAAAAATATCTGACATAACACTTGCTTTTAAAATTAATCACACATTTGGATTAAACAATCCATGTAAAAATATTTTTTGATACCAATGTGTTAATTTTGTGCCAAAATTAGATTGTTTTCCTTTTTCTTGTGTATATCTTTATCATGTGCATCTCACTTGTTCACTTAAACAGGGCTCCCACGGGTCAGGAGGGAACAGGGAAAACCTTGAATTTAATTTTGCCTCTGAAAAACTTTAAATAGTCAGAAAAATTATTATTATTCTTATTTTTTTTTTTTTAAAAAAAAGACTGGAAAACTTCTACATTATATCCAGAAAAACCAGTTTCAATAATTGTCAGTAACAGTAATCAGTTATTGAGATTCGAGTTACATAATTCTGACATCTATAACAATTATTTGTTGTAAAACTTGACACTTACATGCTTTTATCCTCTTTTAATGATATTTCTTTTATCACAGAATCTAATATTACAAGTAAATACATTACAAGTAAAAAATCAAAGTGGTCTGATTAAAGATTGCATCGTATAGATAAAATATGGCTTTGATTTTCATTGAAATTTTCCTGATATACCTGGAAAAGTCCAGAATTTTTTTTCCTGAAATTGAGTCAGAACCCTGTTTGAGTTTCTATAGCTTTGTTTTGTTATGTAAGTGCATTCATTTACCTATTATAGATGCAACTATTAGCAATGTAACAATGCAAAGCTATTTTTTGAGCCAAATTAAGTGGAAAATTATTATAAATTTGCTATTTCATACTTCTATTTTTTAAAATAAACTTACACAACACCCATTGGGAACATACTGCATTGTTGTAGTTAAAATAACAAATTGGTGAAATACTTAGGTTGCCTTTCTTTACAAAAGCAAATAGTATCTGTCACATTTATTTGTAAATTCACACTGTACTGTTCCTCTTTTCTAAATTATTGTAAACATTTTTAAAGGATACATATATGTTAGAATTAAATATGCTTTTATTTTCCATATCAATATTGATATGGAAAATATATGATATGATGACTTATAGGCTTTTCCCTTTTTTAATAAGCTTTTCAGTTGCATTCTTCATTTTATTATTTGTGCGTAGTCAATTATTATTTGTTTTCCTTTTCTAGATAAAGAAAAACTTTCGAAGTGCACTTTTCAACTTAGCGCTTTTGCTTACTGATGATCACCGTCCTCTGGAAGCAGTGCCTTTTCTCAAACAACTTCTTAAGGTAATTATCACTAATTAACAACTTGTTAAATAGTAATTTTATTTAGTAATCATTGCTGTTTGTGCCACAAAAAAAATGATTCATTCGCAGAGGTAGAGAAACCAAACATACGGTTTATCTGTGATTATTATGATTTTATAGTCAAGAGTCTTAGGTTTGAGTGAAAAAGAGTTACAGTTTTGAGAATTTCCGCTGTAATTTTTAAAAATATTTTCCCTCTCGACTACAAGAGTTATAAAAATTTCTCTGTTCGCAAGTAATGTATGAAGATTTTTTTCTATTCCTCAAATAATTCAAAAATCAATAATATCATTATAGAATTAAGTAGTATCTACATGTTTGCCTAATTTAATAACTTTATCAAAATATTACTTTTTTTAATTTAATAGTCAACTCACGCAAAATTTTACAACATTATATACCATTTTAGAATTAAATAGCTTGTACAGTGTGCCAAATAAAAGGACCACCCAGAATAATTTTTGATCTAATTATCAGATCTTTATCTTTCAGGATTCCATCTTACTTGTTCGAGGAGGTGACCTAAAATGTGCTAATAAATTAGTGCAAACAGTATTTTAAGTTATGGAATCAGACCCAAAAACATACTTTCTGTGAATAAACATACCTTTTTTTTTGACGAATTTGGATTTCTGACTTTTAAAATATAAGGGGTAACCTTAATCTGGGAAATATAGTCACAAGAGTGATCTTAAGTTTGGACCCCTTAAAGTTAATTGCTTTTTGCATATTTTGCCATATCTTGAGAATTTTTTAAGCAAATTGAAAAATCTTTGCAAACAGTTATAAAATTTGTTTATTCAAAAATAATTCCATGTGGAGAATAAATTTTGGTAAATATTTACTATTTTTTATTATTTTATTTGATAACAGTCATTTGAACCATTAAGATTGAGCTCTACAATATGAAAATTAAAAGTTATTCGGGGTGGTTAGTTAGTTTTTTTTATCACTGTTTACCTTATAATTCTGTTAAATTAAATTTTGTAAATTCTAACTATTTAGATGTCTGTGTTGTACTTCTGTTTGCTGGTAGCCAGTTAGGAAAGTTGGCACCTCTTATTTTAATGCTTTAAATTAAAAGAATTAATGAAAAAAATCTCTAACTTGTTTCTGTTTTACGTAATATTTTGTGGAATTAAAATTTTATTTATATATGATCAATTTAAAATCAATATGTTCTTTTAAAGTATTTTCTGAAAAAATGTAACTTAATAGTTTTTAGAAGTGTGAGACTCATTTTTAAAAAAAAAACATTTATCCAATTTATAGGAAGTTTCTTATTTTGCCCCTTCTTTCTACTGCTTTATGTGTTTCAAATCTTGCATCCTCTTATTAAGAAGTTAACTGATATTTATGAAATGCGTAAATGTAAATTTTGCATTTGAAATATGATTTTTATCAAATTTTTTAAAAAATTATATTGAAGCTTGTGCTTACTTAATTGAATTTTGAGTTATTATCTCATAATTTTTTTTTTTGTGTATACTCATTCTTTAACAATTAATTGAGAGACTGCATTTTATCTGCACAATTAAAAGCTTTTAATTTGGCTTAGTTAATGTTTTTTATGTTTGAAATTATAAAACAACCATTTTCAGAATTTTACATCTTTTTGAATCTTAAAGTATTTAATGATAGGGGTTTAAAATTATGAGACAACCATTCACTATGGCACCTAATATTTAAATAAAACTCAACTTGTATATTTTAAACATTAAAATCTAAATATTTAGGCCTGCTGACTTCAAGTAATTTTGAAATTTTTAGAATTTATGATATTTGTATGCAATTTGCTAAAAAATAGCAAAAAATTGTGGATTAAATTTTATCAACTCTAATATTTTTTCGCAATCATCAAAACAAGTTTTTATACTGAAAAATTACATTAATAAAACAAAAAGTATTTAATAAAAAAATATAGTTCAAAATCTTATATCATTAAAATTAACTTTATTTACGTTTCATAATGCTTTCTAATTTTTTAAGTAGTTACTAATTACTCTTATAATTATGAAATTTTTTTTTTACACTTACCTCTTTATGATCTTCTCCTCCCCTATGGGGTTTACAATTAAATATAAATCTTATTACTCCTATTTTGCTTGTTTTCCCCTTTATTTCTAAAGTAGATTTAGTTTGTGATACCATTTTTGTTGCATTAAGAGGTGTAATAAGTGTTTGGTGCAATATACATTTTGACCTTCGTGCTATTAAACTGAACTCTACACCAATGGTCGGAAGTAGCACACTATAAGTAGTAAAACAAGTGTAGTTGATACTTTTTTTTCGTAGTTTGTAGTGTAGCTCGCTACTTTTTTAAAAAAGTAGTGTAGTTGGTAGTGCGATATAGAAAAACAGTTGTTTGTTGCGATTCCTGGCAACTACTTTTAATGTTAAATTACTAATTTTTTGAATTTGATGGGTATAAATCTTTGCGGGTCTGCCAATGGGTGCAATGAAAATGACCCTATGGCTGCAGCTGAGCGTTAATCAAAATTACATATTTAAAATCAAATATAACTAATATATAAACTAACCATTCCAAAAATGAAATAATTTATAATTTCAGTTACACTTTCACAGGCGAATGCAGACTCGTGAAACATGGGTGTTACTTCAAAGGAAGGGAATGTATTTTCGATGTACTTAATTTCTTAGAGGAAATAAAAAAGTATTAAACAATTAGATGGTTTCGCCTTTCTTTAATTAAATATTCGCTGTCGTAAAAGGCACAAAACGTTGAAGATTAAATGAACAAATTCGAAAAAAAAAGTTTCGGAATAGTTAACTGGTTCATGTAAACACAAATAAGTAATTCTTAATTATTCCCTTATATTAAATGTAAGCCAATTTCTTATTCATAACCATTTTGAACGTTGGTTTAAATTAAGTTCTCCAGCAAAGTTCATCACCTTACAGTAGTTAAGTAGTTATTACAATTGCAAAGTAGTTTGTAGTCGCTACATTTAAAAAAGAAGTAGTTCTAGTTAACTACATTTATAACAAAGTAAACTACAAAAATAATGTAGTTTTTCTGACCACTGCTCTAAACTCAGCAGAGCATTTTGAGGATATGCTCAGTTGCAAAAATCTTTTTAGTTTTCTAACAATGCACCTGAAAACTACTAAGAGTGAAATTAATATGTTCGAGATACTTAAGTTCATAAAGTCTACCAATTAATTGAAAAATGAATGAAAGCTAGATCGATTGAAATGAGTTCCAGATTCTTTGTTTAAAAGAGGTTACCTTTAATTTATTATTGAATAAAATTTATTTCAGCATCATCCTGAGCATGTGAAAGGTCTAATTCTCCTTGGTGACATTTATATCAACCATATTAAAGATCTTGATGCTGCCCAAAAGGTATTTTTTATCTTTCTTTATGTATTTATCGTATACTTTATTATTTATAGTTATATAGTACTTTTATATCTAAGCTAACCCATTCAGGATTAAAAGCTTTATTTTTTTTTCTCAATTAAACTTTTGCTTAAGTTCTTTTTAAAATTTTTTAATAAAATTTTTCAGTTGTGACATTTATCAAAGGTTTCATTCATACAGAGTTCCCACTGGTCACGGATAGCAGGGAAAACCTGGAATTGTCAGGGAATTTTATTTTAGCTCCAAAAATCAGGGAACGTTGGAATTTTTTATAAAAACTTGGAAAATTCCTTTATCATACCTGGAAAATAACCATTCTTAGAATCATCAGAAACAGTAATCAGTTATTTAGATTTAAGTTATTTGATTGCATTAAAGCATATAATTTAAATTTTAAATTATTATAAGAATATTAAATGTGAATTTGTGAAGGAGATTTTTAATACCAACTAATTGCATGATTTATAACTTTTAATGATCACTTTAATTTCAAATCATGTGTGCCACACTTGGCTGAAATCTGTCTGCTTTTTTACAAGATCATTTTAGAGAGGGCAGTGTACTTTTAGGTAACAAAATTAATGCCTACGAAGCCATTCCTCATTGTGTGTTGAATAACAGATTATTGGTTATTAAGATTAACCTGAAGTGATTTTATACTTCTGTTTTCCATGTTAACTCGTGAAAATTGATAATTCCCTATTTATGAGGTCACCCACTAATATTTTGGAACATAATTTTTGTATAGGTTTTTTCATTGAGCTTTAAATTTAAAATTTAGTGACTTAATGTTTTTAAAGCTACTGTCTATTAAGTTAATTGAGGCAAAGACTACCCATCAAAGTGTATCGTGATTTTCAGTTTCAGAGCCGCTAAAGATCCGACCCAATGTTGGGCGCTTGAGAACACTTTGGATGCGTGATGCAATAGTGAGCTATCACCATCTGCTCTTCATTCTAAATTGTGGTAATGCAAGCATAAATATTGTCATCTTATCATTAGGAATAAATATTTGGCTGTTGCTAATGTCCCATTTGAGTAGCTCAACTCTATGGAAAAATTACCCATGAGAAATAGCAAAACTCGAACCATCAAGGTCAAGCTAAGGAGTTAAATTGTGACTGCCCTGGTGTGCGTCAAAAAGAGCTTCTTCAGCTTAACAGAAATAGCTTGAGGAAGATCATTGGTTTTCTCACTGGTCACTGCACCATTTGGAGACACCTCTAGATTATGGGTATTACACGTGATCTTCATTGTCGTGGTTGCCATCTTGACTTCACGACATATCCTTTAAGAGTGTGAGATCTGTTCTGCTCAAAGATTTGAGCATCTGAAATGACATTGTGTTAAGATCTAGTTACTACCGGATATTCCTGTCGGGAGTTTGCTGAACTTTGTTTCAGCTATAAAGCTTTTCCGCTAGTTATGATCAGTCTGGGTACAATGGACCTCTAGTCGATTTTTCTCAGAGCTGTTCGCCCTCTAAGGCTACGAGTAGCTCAGGTGCAATGTTAAAAAAAAACTAAAAATTTTGTATTCTTATTTTTCAATTTTTAATTAAATTTCTATAAATAAAAAAAAATCTCATTTTTGCTTTACTCATTGCTAATATTTACTTCCTTCTTTCGTTCTAGTGCTATGAAAAAATATTGGTATTGGAACCTACAAACATTCAAGCAATTCACAACTTGTGCGTTGTTTATGTAGAAAGGGGCTTCCTGCAATATGCAGAGGCTTGTCTCCTAAAGGCCATATCCTTAGCACCAAAAGAAGAATACCTACACAGACATTTGTCTATCGTCCAAGCGCGAATGAAGAAGCACACTAGTGATACCATGAAGTCAAAATTTAAATCAAGCAATGAAGATAGCGCATCTATCCAGCCAACGTCTAGCCTACCTGCGTCTATGGAGCTATCAGAGAACTTAGTGTATGCAGATTCATCTGCAGTGCCAATGAAGAAAAAAGAGCAAAGTATATTGCAGCAGCAAAATATATCGATTAAGAGATGAGTTGTTGAGTTAAATATTAATAGGGTTTTTGAATGAGTGGTGCTAATGATTTGTTATCGAATGTTTATTCATGTTGACTTAGCAAAAGTGTAATATCTTATTAAGATTGTGGAAAGGCAGAGATTTTATTTTTATTTTTTTTGAATGCTGAGATTCAAGGGGAGAGTGAGACTGAGAGTATAAAAGAGTTACGGTTTATTAAATCAAATCAGACTAACTTTGAAGTTAAATTTGAAAGAAAGAATTTTAATTATTGTTTGTGATACATGAAAACAAAATTCAAACCAGGTTGCTGTGCTATGCATGCAAAAAATTCTCATCCTCGCTGCTTTCTTCAATATTTAGTAATGGTTGATTCTTATAAAATATATTTAAATCCTAATGTGAAAAGCTAGACTAGTATAAAATTATTTTTAAAAACCTCTTTGCCTGTTTCAAATGTTGCTTTCATTCAATTAGTTTTCTTTTGTGATTAACCTATTGCTTTCAGTGGATTAGAGTGATAATTTTTGCTGTGTTGAAACACTGTTAGCAAGGGATTAATCAGAAAATATGTGATTATGTAGCAAAAGGTCATTAATAAAAAATTTATTTCAGGCCTCAGTTAATATTACTGTTTTAAGTCTAGTGATTGTTTTGTAATAATTTAATTTTTATGTTCACATTTTCTATTTGAAATCTGGTTAAATGTTATCAATTATATATTAGTGTATAGCAATACTTAATCCACTCAAAATCAGAAGTTTAATGTCTTCAAGTGTTTGCACAAGAAATTGTGTACCTATTTTTCAATTTTCACAGAAATTTAAATCCTTATGTAAGCATGCATTATCTACTTTACCACCTATGTTTTAAGATGCATACTGTAGCAGGTTACATAATGAATAAAACATATGTGTTGCTTACAACACATTAATGAAATTGGGAAAAAAAAGACTATTTCTTTCTGAAAATGTGAGTGTGAAAATTGCTTATTCTTTAAAATGAGGAAAAGTAGCCTTCCTAAACCTTTACATGTTAATGCTGTTTGAAAGATTTTGTTTATTTGTTTTACTGGAATGCAACCTTCCTAAACCTATGTTAAATATGTGTATTCTGTACATAAAATCTGGAGCTTAGTGGAAGAATATGTTAAGTTATATATTAAGTAGAATTGAGAATGGCAACTTTAAAATGTATAAAATCATATTTCCAATGAAAATGATTTTATTTAGAAACTTATGAAGATGAATTATTGTTCTAAACTAGTAACTGACCATAACTTTTTTTTCTAAATGTTCTTTAACTAATTAATTCTTTTCAAATGTTCTTGTGTTTCTACTATTGATGTTTGATTCAGAGTTTAGTAGAAGAACATGTTAAATTGTATATCAATTCGAAAATAGCAGCTTTAAAATGTATCGAAGCATATTCCCATTGAATTTATGACAGTAAATTGTGCTTTTATACTTATTGTTGATCATAACATGTTATTTAAAAGTTCTTTAACCAAGCTCTAAATATATTGCTACTAATTTTTACATTTGATGGAGATTGTTGTCTTGTATGCAGAGTGTTTCATAACCATACTGATAAACTTCTAGGGGAGGTAGAATTGCATAAGCTTTTATCTAAATAATCTTAAATTTTTGTTTTCTAATAAGCACTGTCAAAAATTACATAGATGTTTTATCATAATTTATGATCTGGCAAGATTTGCCAAGTTAGTTGCTAAATCATTAAACTACAATATACCAGCAATTTATAAGCAATTATGCAGCTTTTGACAATAATTATTAAAAAAAAATTCAAATTAACAGGAAATTAAAATAATTTAAAATAACCAGTTCAAGGTGCACATCAAAACAGTTCATAATAGGAAAGTGGCCCAGCACATGATGTGATGCGTTATCTATCATATCTGCCAATTCAAATTCTTAATAATTTTCCCTATCTTTCCTAGAAAGTTGTCTGTCTGGTCGTGAAACACCCAGTATAATGAATTTGAGACTAGTGATTTACAAATGTATAAGAAACATCAGAAAGCTGTTTTCAAAGCATCTTATGAAAATAAATCACTTAAAATGGAAATAAGTTTCTAAATAAATGTTCTATACCATCACAGGGTTGTCACTGCACATGGAGAATAGGGAATACCTGGAAAAAACAGGGAATTTAAATAAAGTAACAGGGAAAAATTAAATTAAATAATAAAATAACAGGGAAATTAAATTACCTAAAATAGCAAAGAAACAGCAGGGAATTTTGTTTTTTATTTTTTGTCTTTTAAAAAATAGTAACCACTCAAAATGCAATATGTGGGATATTTAAGGATGATATTTCAGCTACATTAAACTATTTCATTGACTACAGCATTATTTGTTTTAAGCATGTTCAGCTGTTCCTTTTTTTCCAGCAATTATAACTAGTATAGTTAACCGAGTACAGCTCATACAAGAGAACAGTGATTGTGTTTTTCCTCTTAATATATTGTGTATAATGTGTACAGGGAAAACACAGGGATTCCCCCCCCCCTAGATTAGAGTGGCAACCCTGCGCCAGATGACGATAACTCATTTTTAAACTAGCAAATCTGAATGTTCTTCAAATGTGTTAAAGCTCTACTATTGACATTTGACTGAGAGTTTACATTTGGTTTATTCTATAAATATCTATGCAAATCTTTAAAGCAATAAAATAAATATTCTGCCAATTCTGTGGAATGGATATTCAATGACTAGATTTTATTGCTTAATACAAGCAATATATAAGGAAGAAATATTAATACTGTTGAATGTGTTGTAAACAAGAACTTATTACGTGTTAATATGTATTTAATTTTAACTCTGTTCTACTTTTGTTATTATTTTGGTTTATTTAAGTGATGAATATGAAATCTAATGAAATGGTGAAATGTTTCAAATTACTATGATATCGGTGATAATATTCCGGTCAAACTTTGTTTAAAGTTTCCTTCTTCCTTATAGCAGTAAAAATTATTTTTGAATTAAATGTAAAAAGTTGTGAAAAATGCACAAATTAACTTTAATTTATCAAATTTAATTTTTTTCTTTATTTCCGCAATGCCCGATGTCATGATGCCAAGAATTTAAAAGTGCTTTACAGAGTATAACTATAAATTGACTTATGACTAAAAATAAATTTTTAAATTAGCACAAATCATTTATTTCAACTGTAAATTTATTGAGTCATAAAGAGTTGTATCCTTAATTTTATATGAATTATTTCAAGCTAAAATGTGAGATGTTATGCACAAAAAACTATACTTTTTACAATAACAATAGAAATAAAATAACATTTAAATAAGGCATTTCTTTTTTCTTATTTCAAGATTTGAGTTGTTATAACAACACCATTTATAGGAAAGGAGCTCTTACTATATTTTTATTATATATATTTCTATGTGGCTTTTGACCTTTTATATTTCAATAAAAAAATTGATAGTCCTGAAACAATTATTGTAAGTTTACAAACTAATGTTCAAATTTTTAAGGTGAAATTAAACATAGATATTATACCATAAATATAATGTAAGAAGGTCTACCTGAATCTCATTGTACCTTATGTTTATAATTGTGTGTGAAAACTTTTTATTCTGGTCAATTTCATTTCATTAATTATTTTTGAAATTGTTTATTTAGGTTGTTTTTTTCCATTACGATTTTGTGATATGTGAGTAAATCAAGATAGATATCTTGAAATGAATGTTTTGTTGCTCGTGCGTTTTAAAATAATCAACATATCTGAATTTTGGATATTATTTTTAATATTTTCTATTTTATGGTTTGGTATTTTTTTAAGCACTCAATTTTATACTTTACATATTTGTAAATTTTGCTAGTTGTAAGATATATGTATTTTTCTATTAACTATTATTTTGATGTTTTTTATATTTCTTGTATATTTGATATTAAGTATTTATAGTAATTTTTTTCAGAAAAGGCACTACTGTGTATTATCTTTTAATTTGTATAAAATATTAACTATTAAAATTTTATTTAAAAACTAGCAACTGAAAACTTTTACATTATTTTTGTAATTAGTTTTATTCTTTGATATTTTTTTTCTGGACTAAAAAAGTACTCTGTGCTTAATTACTTTATTGCTGATACCATGTTGCAATTGTTATTTGTGTTGTGTGGTTTTATTTATATACTGGTGAGGGGTTATTTTAATTGCACTTTAAATAAAACTTCAATATTAAAATAAAATTTTAAATAGGCAAGATTTAAAAAAATAATAATTTGGAATATCTAAATTTGTTTGATTTTAAATATGCTCTGAAACCACAAAGATCTTTTTCTATTGTTTTTCATTTGTGTTAAAGTAGTATTTAAATTTGTAATTAAAAATAGTCTCCTTTTTTTAACATTTATAAACTTGTTTTAATTAGTTTTTTTTTTCATAATACTGATAGAATTTGATTTGTTTTAATTATGTGTCTTTTCATTTTCTACTTTTTTAAACATCCATTTTCTTTGAATTGTTTTTTTTCTCCTTGATTTTTGACTTCTTTAATGCACTTATTATAAAAAAGTATGTACTTATATATGTTGTTGTGTTGAAACACGTAAGTTTAAAAGTAAGAAGGAAAAAAAAGGGTTATCTCAACATTTTAGGTGTGAAAAAAAAAGTAATTGAAGTGCATTCCAAAATGTTGCCATTGTTATTACTTGATCTGTGATGGGTCAGGGGATAGAGCTCTCACCTTCCAATGAGGTGAACCAGGTTTGAATCCCAGAGACGGTTAAACGATATGAATTCCGAATCCGGCTTGCACCGACCACAGTGCTGACGTAAAATGTCCTCAGTGGTAGACAGATCATGGGCTAGAGTTCTCTTGCTGTCAGGCTATTCGTAGGAGGTTTTCGTAGTTTTCCTCTCCATGAAATGCAAATGCAGGTTAGTTCCATCAAAAAGTCCTCCACTATTACAAAATTCTCTCAATACTTGATTCAGGAGTTCCCTTGTCTTCTGGATTGGGTACAAAATTACAAGTCTGTAGAATTGAACACTAGTAGTCATAAACCCTAAATTCGGTTGTCTGTTCAACAATGGTTACAAAATGTTTTTAATTCTTCCACTAAAACATAAAGTTTTCAGACAGGTTTTTCCTAGATTTCATGATATTTAATATAAATATCAGAAATGGTGATTAAAAATTGGGGCCTTGGCATTAATAGTTTAAATATAATTTTGAATTTTTTTTAAAATTTAAAAGGTAGGTGGCAAATAACGAACGTTTTTTTTTCACATCTAAAGGAATTAAATGACTAATGTTTGTATTAAATGACTATAGGAATTAAATGACAAGCATAGTTGCCAACTTGTTCGTAAGGAATAAAAAATCTCCATTATTTACATATCAACAAATATCATATACCACCAGATCTCATTGTTTATTTTAAGTTACAAAAATACTAGTTCTTGACTGATTAATCATTCCATTTTTTTTTTATCCACTTTACTCAGGATTTGCAAATCCTACTTACATTGTTTTCAATTACACTTAATATAACCTTTCTGTGAAGTTTTTATTTCTCCTTAAGAAAGAAAGCATATTTAAAATAAGTTTTTGATATTTTATTCTTGTTGCTGTTAAGTCTATAGTGTTGGAGAATTTATTTTAGTTTTTGTAATAAGGCTCATACCTCGAAAATTACTGTAATTCTTAATTTATTATATGAATATCAATGCTGTTATTTTTTGTTCTGTTAAATGGTAATGTATAAATCTCATTATTCACCTGCAAGCAGGGAATTTTGTNAGGTGTCAAGTTTCTTCCGCAATTGAAAAAAAAACTGTAAAAAAAAATAAAAAAACTTTCCCAGAAGAAACTTTTTCAAAAAGAAATTTCAAATATTAAAACAGTTTATAATTACAATCTAGTCTAATGTATCATTTATTACTTCAAGCTGTTTACTATATAATTTTTAAATAAGTGGAAACTAAAAAGCAACAATTGCAAATAAATACATTTCTTAGTAAATTAAAATATATGTAGTTCTTCCATGTTTTATGTTATAGTGCATAGTAAAACCTAATTTTATAATTAAGATCAGTTAAAAAAATCAATTTGTATTAATATTACTCAATTAACAAATCATATACTTTACATATGCTCTACTAAAAATCATATATTGAATTAATAATTACAAATAGCATGCTAACTTTTATTATCAAATTCTATTAAATATGAATATTCTAAAAGACTTTTAAGTAATATGATAGATTTTGAAGTTATAAAACTACAAACTACGGCATAAAACTACAAATAATAATAATATTGAAATAGCAATAACTTTCTGGTACTGTATTAATACTATATTAAGCTATTCTCATCAACGTATCGCTAAACAATTTTATTGGCTGTTTTCGATTTCTTCTATTTCGTCCAATTTTTTTTCTGTATGAAATGCCATCCCTGTTAAGAAGGCAAAACTGTGAGCAATTATGAAATATTTGCACTTTAAAAAAGATCTCCAAGATTTGAAATTTAGAATATATTAATTTTAGTTTTTATGTAATTGTAAATTTTATATCAAAAGTTAAAAAAAAAAAAAAACTCTTAAAAATTTATTTTAAAATATATTAATAAAAAAGAGAGTTTATATAAGATAGTTAACTATTCGGAATTGGGCGGCAAGGCAAATAATAGATATTTATATTCCTAGCTTTAAATACATTTCCATTTTTTTAAATGAAATTTTTACTAGACATGAACGTTGAATGTAAACAGGTCTGTATGATGTTTAGTGCCTGTTAACTAATGGGGTGGGGGAGGTCGGAGCACTCGAGGGTTTACTGTTAACTTTTAGAACACTAAGTACAAAGTCAAAAGATTTTTTTTTACCAACTTATTCTTGAAAATTCAAGAGAATATTAGCTTGCAACTGTAGATCGCTCTGAAGCTCTTCCATATTACTATATAATACTTAATAATTGTATGGTGAAATACGTATAGGTAT